CATATTGACTTGCCGGGGGAATAGGAACCGGACTGTCGCTCCCCAGAATGGCAGGAGCCAGAGCCATGAGGTTCTGTATTAAAAAGAAAAAGAAAAAGAAAAAGAAAAAGAAAAAGAAACAGCGTAAGCGTTCACACACAGAACGCAAGCTAATCAGATAGAGTTACTGTACTGTTTATATGCAGCATGCAAGAGTGTCGAAGAAAATACAGGCTGGGCAACACAAAGTGTCAAAACTAGTCAGCAACTCTGTTCTTCTCGCTGCTGCTTTACCCCTCTCAAATTCTTCTGACTTCTCCTTTTCTATTCTTTCTACTTCCCGCCGTGCATCTGCAGCAGCCTTCTTTGCTACCTGCAGGGCTGCGTCCACGAGGTCTTCCTCAGTCAGGGTTTTCTATTCTCCCCCGCCTCACTCAGGCTTCAGGCACGTGTCCCCGCCTTCAGCAGGCCCCTTGCCTCTCTCCTCCTCAGCCATAATGGTCTTTTCAATATTTTATTTGTTATAAAAACGAACAAATAAATGTAAAAATAAAATAAAGCAAAACAATCACATCCGTGTTAACACGCAGAACGCAAGCTAATCAGATAAGAGTACTATAATACTGTTTGTCTACAGAATGCAAGAGGTTAGAAGAAAACACAGGTTGGGCAACACCAGTGTCTGCAAGTGAGACCGGGCGGTAAAAGATACAGGGAAGAAGCAGAAACTTTCTCTAAATGGCTGTGATCCCGTACCCAAACGGCCTCAGAAAACACAGCAGTGATTTCTGTTCAGACTGTTCACGGTACCTCGGTCGGCCTCACTGTTAGTAGTAGCAGTGAGAAACGTGTAATTAAAAACCGGCGGAGAAATCAGAAGCGGGAAACCGCTGACTACTCGATGACTGTAGACTACGGCGGCAAACTGACAATAGACTGACACCAGGACTGTTCTGACGGCGACGGACAGACCATTCAGACTGACGGCGTGGACCGGACTGGCAAAGCAGTCTGCTGCTGCAGACTGAGACAGACAGGAGGAACAGACAGATCCTGTAAGGGTTAGTTTCAAAAATATTTCTTTTTCGAAGTTTGGCAGCAAAAATGTCGTCGGTTCGAAGTTCCCTTTGCAAAAATAGAGAGGTTTCGTTGCAGCTTTATGGCGTTCCGGTAGTTTGCCAGCAAAAATACCACGTTTTGCCCCAGTTTCACAGCGAAGGACCCCTAGGCCCCTGGCCTCATGGACTCAGGGACTCAGCGTTCTGGCCTGAGGCACTCAGATTTTCTTTTTTTTTCTTTTTTTTCTTTTTTTTTTCTTTTTTTTTCTTTTTTTTATTATTTTTTTCTTTTTTTTTTCTTTTTTTTTTCTTTTT